CATCGGGCTCCCTGCTCAGCTGGAAGCCTGCTTCTCCCTCTCCCACTCCCCCTGCTTGTGTTCCCTCTCTCACTGTGTCTCTGTCAAATAAATAATTAAAATCTTAAAAAAAAAAAAGGGAAACATTTAGAAGTTGGTTGACAGCCACTGATAAGTGTTCATCCCTTCTTGTCTACCCATTTCTGACTGTAGATCCCTTCTTACATTTTCTGCTGCATTTGTGGGATTCTGATTTCAGATCCTCCTAAGTTTTAAGGGAAAGTTAAAAATTGTCTCAATAAAATAAAAACAAATCCATGAACACACGCATCAGCCCGCAGGCAGCACCGTGCTGACTCAGAAGGGCTCTGGCCCTGGTCTCTGACTCCTTGAGGGTCCGCCCCTGCCTGTCCTCTCTGCCCCCGCAATGTCACCCAGCAAGAGCGCTGGCCAGTCACCCTCCAGGAAGCCACAGGGTCCATGCCGTGTCACGTGGCAGCTGGGTGAGGAGCTCCTTGAGTAGCTTGTGTGGGGCCTGTCGTGCGCGCTCAGATTGCCGTGTGAGAGTGCTGCGTGACAGGAGCCCCCCGCCTGGGTGGCTGGCGGGGCTGCAGCCAACAGGGACTTCGGGGAACTCAGCAGGAGAGGGCGGGCAGCAGGCAGTGCCAGGCTGGGGCCGCCACCGCAGCGATCTCCAGCCCCCTGAGCCCATCCCGCGGTGCTTGGTGTCATCGGGTGAGCGTGCTTCCATCATGGTGTGGGCCCCGTGCGAAGGCTCAGCACCGGGGACATTGTGGCTGACAGGACTGGTCCTGGGTCTCTGAGCACGGGGACTCAGTTACGTGCTCGACACGGTCTTGTTTCTTTGGGGGGAGCTGGACAGTGTTTTGAAAGCTCATCCAAAAGCAAACCAGTAGAGAATTGCTTCAAAAAAAAGAGGAGGAACCGGGCGGGGCGGGGAGCAAGCACAGCAGACAGGCGTCCAGCGCGCAGTGACACGTCGCAGACGACTGTGCGTGCGGGGAGGAAGCCGCGGTGGGCGGCGGAGGGGAGGGAAGGTGGTGTCGCCAGTGGTGCTGGGACAGGGGATTTGCCACTTGGGAAAAACAAACATTTACCATTTACTTCCTTACCTCCCAGAACAAAAATAAATTCCAGATCAATTAAGAGAGAAAACTTAAATGGACGTTTGATCTCCAATTGAACGAAGCCCTGAGGAGACTGTCACTTTGGACCAATGATAAATGTTCTAGTAACATAATTACCTTTAAAGCCACAACTGCCTTTTTCCTTTTTTTTTTCTGTTTTGTTCAGAGGCCCAACAATGACCTGGAGTTGAACCCAGACCCCAGTGTAGCACGGCTACCGGAAAATTCTACACTCTCGCTTCTTTCCCATTTGCTGGGGACCTGCGCTCAGTTGCCTCTGCTGCAGACACTACCCTCCCCCCACCCGGGGGGGCATGGGGCGGGGGCACCCACAGCTTGCCATGGGCGCGGGCCCCTCAGGCTGGACACCCCGTGTGCACGCCCTGCCAGCTGCGCTCTCAGGGCCTCCGCGGAGTCCGGCCTCTCACAACCCTGCCTCCACCCACCGCTCTGCGCCGCCCAAGTGCGCCCGGCAGGTACGCCAGTCTGGTTAGCTCTCAATCGGACTGCAAGTGAAGGAAGGCGACTACACTTACCACGGGCCAATTCTCACTCCTCGAAAATTCTAGGTAGTGGTAAAATGAAATTCAGAATGTGGTTTTTCCTCTAAAACATTACTAACGGTGACTAGACCCAGGGGCTGAGGCACAGAGGCCAAATCAGCCTCTACTAAGACTGAAGTGCTAGGTTTACAATAACCAAAGTAACCATGTGGTTACCTTTGCTGGCAATAAACAAAACAGAAAAAAAAAACCCCAGTAAAATTGAATGAGAAAAAGTCTTTTATTTGTCTTGAGTACTGCAGGGAGGAAAAGTAGGCTTGCCCACAGGCAGCTGAGCGCCGCCCGCCCGCCCCACTCAGCGCATCTAAGACTGTCCTGTGCAGGGCAGGAGCAGGGCTATCCCTGGGAGGTGGACAGGCCCTTCTCATCCCTGCGAGGGCGGCTGAAAAGCAGGGAGGAGGAGGAGGAATGTGCGGGGACTCAGTTCAAAGCTGAGGTCCCATGGCCCCTGTGGTCTGGAAAGCGGTGGGGCAGGAAGTGCAGTGGGCAGGATGGGGAGGGAGGGAGAGCCGCCGACACCTGTCAGCCCTCTGCAGGCTGGGACACCTGGGGAAAGGCCGTGGTGCTGCTGCGGACTGCACAGTGCACCCTGCCCCGGAGGTCCCGGTGCTGACCGCAGCGTGGAGCACCAGCACCACACGCCTTCGCGGGGAGAGGGAAGACTGCACGAGCTTCATGTGCATCCCAGTGTGCGCGGGGACGGTCTCGACCATAAACCTCGAGAGGCAATGAGTCTTCTTCAGACCAGGCCTAACCCGCACCGCCCCGGCCAGACGCACAGATGTCTTACATTGTTCTCTAGGCCCTCGATGACCTCGATGCCGTTGTGGCTCAGGTACAGCTCTCGAAGGTTCACCAGGCTCTGCAGACCCTCCATCTTGGTCAGCCGGTTGCTCTGCGAGAGGGAGGGCCAACAGCCGTCAGAACAGCACGGGGGGTGGGGGGGAGACAAAATGGCTTTTAGGGGAGGATACCTCTTGTCTAGAAGAGGCCTAACACTAGCCCTGCACTCCCAGTGTGCTGGAATGGAACTTGCTGGAGACAGAGGTCCAGATACCGAGTCTGCTGCACTGGCTAGAATGCATGTGTGAGGGTTAGAGGCTTTTAGATAAAGAACGCTTCCTTAGATGTGCTTAGGGAAGGTCTACCCCCATAACTCAGCAATTCAAAAATGTCAAATCCACTGAATATTTTAAAATAAATTACTTCTTACTTCTTTTAATATATGTTGTAACTCAGACTATACAGTCCTTTTTAAATAAAGAGTCTGCATAATGTCTGCTTTATGAAAGGCACAAGTGATTTGGGGAGATCTGCCCACCCAGGACATGCCACCACACCTTGCCTCAAGGGCCTGGCTCCACTCATCTGCCTCCAGCACAAAAGGTAGCGTGAACCCAGGCATACTCAGGTGCTTGCCCATTCGCAAACACAGGGCTCTGCTCTCCATGAGGGTGTGGAAGCTTCCACCACCGAGCCAGACACTTCAGGAGCCTTAGCACAAGCTCAACCCTCTTAAGACAACCCTGTGGCTAGAAACCACCCAGGGAAGGAAATTTTATGTGTATGGACATGTAAGTCTCTGAAACCTGACATTTCAATTGCTCCCTGCTGGTGAAGGGAGCACTGATCCTGGACACGGGGAAAGACAAACATGCAGGGTGTTGGGCAGTCCCGCCCCAACTGGGGCGTGGCCAGATGGGCATGAAGGCAGGTCGGTACCTGCATACTGAGCACTGTCAAGTTGGTAAGTGCATCCAGGTTCTGAAGTTTAGTGATCTTGTTTTTCCCCAAAAACAAACTCTCCAGACTGGTTAATGTGTCAATATTTTCAATTGCCTGTGAAAAAGACAGGGTAGTAGTTAACACTGTGTGGCCCACCCGCTAGACCAGGGTAGGCGGGGGCCTGGGCGAGGAGACACAGCTATTCGGACCGCAGCCCTGGGATGTGGGCCAGTTACTTGTCCACTCTGGAAATTCTCCAGTAAAATCTCACTTAAAAGGTGGATAGTCCAAGGCCTTGTCTCCTGGGCTCATCCCCAACCCTCACAGAGCTCGAGGTCAGGGGACATCCACAGATGAGCAGTCCCCCACCGAGTGCTAAAGTTCTGAGTAGACACGTTATCATGTAATTCCACGTAGGGTTTGTTAAAATGCATTCCAAGAGCCTAGGTCTCCCCAGAAGCAGCTCTGACCTCAGGATGCCACCCAGGATTCCTGGGAACAGGCGCCCCCATTCCATGGCTCTCTGTCCCCCGTCTCAGGGATCCACCCTCCCTCCTTGCCAGGATCCTGTGCTCCTCTAGTCAGCTGTCAATGCCAGTGCCAGGCGGAGAGCAGGGGGTCTAGGACACGCTGACTCAACCTGCTTCCCTCCTGAGTTTGCTGCTGCCTCTCAGCAAGCTGTCAGCTTTTGCAGCACACACCGACCCACCAGCAGGTGCCGAAGGCAGGTGCATCCCACCTTGCACATCACAGCAGGATTGAGGATTCAGGGGGAGGGCATCCTTAACTGCTATTAGCTACCCTGATTTGTGATGAACCACCTTCCTCCTAGAAACACTGCAGAGAGAGACACTTGATAAAATGCCGGCGACATCTGGGCCACTCTTCACTCTCTAGTTTTAAATGTGCTACTTTGCTACGGGGGCCATGTGACTGCTCACAACTATCCCGAGAGGCCCTCCTGGGTTTGCATCCTGCCCAGCTGTCAAGGGCCAAGCTGGCTGATTACAGGGTGCTGTGAACAATCAACAGCCAGATGGAGGCTGTTTGTACCACAGAAGTAGGGGAAGAACTGCTTGGACAACTGGCTTCACTGGGATGTCAGGTGGGCATCGAGTGGTCTTCTGGCTAGCAGATATCCTCCTTACTGTCCTGCTGACCCTTCCTCCTCTCTGCTGGCAAACCGCCGTCGCCTCTCCCCCCACCCCAATGTCAGTCCTTCTGTGACCCTGTCTGTTTCCCACCATGGGTTCTGCCCGGCAGCTATCGTCAGATGGGTAAAGGACTGCTCCTATGGACACCAAACCTCTTTCCCAAAGCCTCTTCTGTCTACTCTGCCCAACACTCCCAGAGGTCGGGTCGGACAGAGCGTGGCAGGATGTGAGGCTGCCGGGGGCGTATCCCAATTGTACGAAGGTGTCCGGGGAGGATGGGCCAACCATACACCAAGATGCACCATGCTTCCTGCGGCCCCCGTGTGGAGGTCAGGTTTCTACAAGCCACCACTCTGCTGTGTCTGGGATACTGGCATCTCCGAGAGGCTCACCAAAGAACACAACCCTCAGCACACGGAAAACCAAAGCGCTTCCCTCGGGCAGAATGAAACTGGGGTGCTTTGCTAAGGTTTAGGTTGTGATCTGGATGAAGAGCAAGTAAAATTTACGTGCAGAAAAAGGGCTAGACCACAGAGTTTGAGCACATGTTCTTATTAACAATGACCTGCAGTTAGCATTCTCTTCCTGGAAAATAAAATCACACCACAGGAACACCTAGCCAAGCACACACCTAGCGCCCATCACCACCAGTCCCAGAGGCCAGGCCCCTGGCCACGTACCCGCACCTACCCGGATGCGGTTGGACCCCAGCTCCAGCATCTGCAGCTGGTGTAAGTTGCTTATGTTCTCAATTTTACTGATTTTATTGTTAACCAAGAAGAGCTTCTTCAGTTGCGTCAGCTTTTCAACTCCTTCAATGTTTCTCAGCAGATTGAAAGAAATATCTAGAATCCTGAGAATAAGCAAAAACATTTCATTTTTAAATGAGCACAGGTGGCATGGAGCTCAAAATGCAACTAAGCTGGAGGCAGCCCCCCCACCAGGTGGGCCACACACCACCCCAGCCGCCCGCCGGGCTCTCGGCATTGCATCGAGGATGGAAATCGTGCTGGCCCCAGACCGGACCCATCAATGCCACCCACGGAGCCAGGCGCTGGGCAGGACCCTGTGGCAGAGGTGGCCTCCCAGGGCTGAGAGCAGGGGCCCAGGGTTGGTTCTGGGCAGACTGAACAAGCCCCTCAGTCGTCCCCCAGACTCATGACTCACTCCAGCTGTGTTAGCGCCTCCAGATTCTCAATCTTCTTGATTTGGTTGTCATAAAGATCCAGCTCTCGCAGACTCTGTAACTCCTCCAGATTTTCAATGCATTTAATTAAATTTTGACGGAGGCAGAGAGTCTGAGGGATGAAAAAGGACAGTTGACACAGGCAATGGGGAGGCCATGAGATGCCAGCTGTGTTACGGGACCGGCCTTCCGGGGCAGGGGAGGAGGTTCTCATCCTCCTGTTGTCTCCTAGAAATGTGCTGGCCTTGGAGAGGATGGGTAGACACCCAAAGGGAGGCTGGAGGCAGGCCTCGCACTGAGCAGACCTCAGTGGTGAGGGAGGCATTGGTCAGGGTTGGGGGTGTGTGCGGTTTCCCAGCAGAGCAAACTGCTAGTGGGCTCAATTTTTAACAAATTTAACTGCAGCGAGGTAAGGACTACACAGTCCGGGTTGTGCTTAACTATAGGCAGGCTCGGCACTGGCTCATCGGCTGGCCTCGGGAAGCGCCCACTGGCCTCCTGGACTGCGCTGTAAACCCCACCATGTTTAGGATAAAAAGTGCCGATAGCAGCTCAGGACACAGGCCAGCAGCTTCTGCAGAACCGACCCTCAGTTGTCGGGGGGATGGGCTCTGGGTGTCAGCATCCCCTCCAAAGGAAGGACAGAGTCGCCCTCACCTTCACTTTCTTCAGCACCTCGAAGCCCTCAATCTTCCCAATGCGGTAGTGATTCAGATCAACATCCTGAAATGAAGAAGAAATCCAGCTGCAGAGAAGCATCTGAAGACCTGCTTCCTGGAGCAGGAGTGGAGGGGGGCCAGCGAGGTGGGTGCAGGGGAGGGTGAGGAGACACCAGTGAGCCTGTAGACAGGCGACAGTGACACAGAGGATAGCTGCAAGATGCTCGTTGGCAGTTTGACATAAAAATGAACAGTGCGTAAAGCCTCTCGCCCCATAGCCCCCTGAGCACAAACACAGGCCTAGGCGCCCGCCGTCAACTGCAGGCTTGGGGTGGGGGCTGCGGGTGGGGCACCAAGGTGATGCTTCCTGGTGGTCTCCTGCCTGCCTGGAGCTGCCAGTGTTCAGTGCGCGTCAGATGCTGGGGAGGTCGAGGCCCTGCCACTGACAAAGTAATCACCCGACCCACTCGTGTCACTTAGGTGACAAGGGCGGTTCATCGGCCACCCAACCCTCTGGTTACACAGGGCTGGGGTTTTAGTCACTGGTTTTAGAAACAAGCAGGACACAAGGAGTCTGACCCAACCAAGCAGGGCTCAGATGACCTCGCTTAGGAAATCACTTACTAATCTGGCACCTCCGTAAAAGATACCCTTACAGTCAGAGTGGTCCATCACCATGCCCCCGTGGCTGCGTCCAGCAGGTAGCATTACCTCTGCATCTCTGTCCAGGTTGATGGTTTCCATATCCACAGGCAGCTCTTGTCCTTCTGAAAAAATGAGAAGGAAAAACAAAGCCCATTCAGAGCCTTAGTGTCTGTGGCACTGGGACTTGGGCTGCCTGGCTCAGCGCTGAGTCACACACAGCAGAAGCCACGGGGCGGCACACGGAGGCTCCGGATGGTGCGGCAGGGTTAACGCCCTGCTCGTCACGGTCACTTTTCAAGCGTTCAGATGTTCCTGAACTCGGCTCCTGGCAAAGGTCTCCAAACTTCCATCTGTGCCACTGAACTTGCCAGGAAAGGAAATGTAGCCTGAAGCTGTTTGCAGGAAGGAGGGGGTTGGCCGATGGAGCCTCAGGTGAGCCCAGTCAGCGGTAGGGGATCCGCCCAGAGCTGCCCAGCTGGCAGCGGCCTGCCCTCTCCTTTCTTGTCTGTGGCAATCAATCAGACCATCTGAATATAGCTCCCGCTGGGCATGTCAGATGTTCTAGGATGTGCCTTTTATTGCTTTGGAAAGTGGCCTCGTTGTCTATAAACACTTATCTTTGCAAAGAGGAAACCAAAACAAAGCACAGCTCGACAGAGGGACTGGAGAGCCCTGACCGATTTAAACACACTTCTCCACTGGAGGAACGAGCTAATCCCAGCAGAGGCCCCCCGCCCCAGTGCCGGGGGAGAGCTGTGAGATGCGCTCAGGCTGTGGAGCTAACGGCCTGGAATCAGTTGCTTCCTGGCCTTCGTTTCCCCTAAGCTGACGGAAGTGTGCGTGTCTAAAAACAGCTCAATGCTTTAAAAAAGTGTAACAGTGATTCTTGGATTTCATCAACTGTCTGACAATTTCTCCCCTCAGTCTGCTTGTATTAGGATCTGAAAAAGGCCATATATTGTGACTGGATGACATTTCTCTAATGTCCCTTTTGGCTCTCCGAGGAAACTGGGCCGCCTGGCTTGCCACGCTTCTGGGGAGCGTGTGGTTGCTGCTCTCCTGGAAACCGGCTGTCCCCACGGCTACTTTTGCCTGGCTCCTACTGCTACCCCTCCCCTACAGCAAAGCTGCATCTGCTTCTGCTGTGGAACGGGCCTACGGCCCTCAGACCTCACGCTCCCGGCACCTCCCGACGACAGGGGTCCGCTCTGTCTGCTGGCCAGCCTGGCCCCTCGACTGGAGGCTGTAGAGGGGTGCACTTAACAGCGGACGGACCAGCTTAACAAAGCAGCACTGGCTGGCGCTGGCTGAATTCAGTCTCCTCACTACACCTTCTCCATAACAATCAACAATGGCTAGTCAACAAAATATGTCATTTACTCTAGTTTATTTACTAGAATTATTTGCTCTAACTTTACAAGATATCAACCAACCTAGGAATGAAATAAAAGGAGTTGGGGAAAACCAAGAGATATACCCAAATTACTCCTCACCCCCAGACACACAAGTGCAAGGTCCATGAAGTCTGGAAGCTGCGATGAGAGGCAGCACAATGAAGGCAGGTGTCCAGGCGAGCCAGCGTCCAAACCAGGACACCGTGAGAGTGCGAGCAGCATTGCAGTCACGCACGGCCGGGGGGCAGAAACCAGGCCTGGGCTCCTTAGCACGGGGGGTCACACAGCTTAATGTGGTCGTGTCTGTAACGTGCCCGGCACTCAGGGCAGGCCCCTCAAAACAACAGCTTAACCTCTGCAACAGCTGCCAGCCTAGAATGTTTCCCCAAATGTACATGTATTCATCTTTTTCTTTTTTTTTTTTAAAATAAGTTACGGAAAATAAGTGAAAGGTAACAGTTGACACGTTTGAATTTTATTTGAATTTAGGACTTAAATAAATACAGGTGGGAGCAGAGCGAGTCCTGGTTTCTCTCAAGGACTTATAAAACTGCATATTTCCAGAGTGCTTTTTTTTTTTTTTTAAGATTTTATTTATTTATTTAAGAGACAGCACGCGCAGGAGCAGGGGGAAGGGGCAGAGGGAGAAGCAGGCTTCCCGCGGAGCAGGGAGCCCAATGTGGGACTCGATCCCAGGACCCTGGGATCATGACCTGAGCCGAAGGCAGCGGCATACCGACTGAGCCATCCAGGCGCCCACCCCACCCCCCACTTTAAGATTTTTCCAGGGTGCTTTTAATCAGCTAGTAGTCTGAAAGAACGCTGGATTTGGACAAGCTGGGTTTAAGTCCAGCTGCTCTACTTTGTCACCGTGAGCCCCCGGGTGAGCCACCGGGAGCCCGCGCTCACCACCCAGGGAGAGAAATCCCCAGGACAGGGCCCCACCAACTCTCCAGTCCTCCAAAAGTGCTGGATGTTCAGATGGGAGAGCAGGTGACGCTCCCACCTGCTTGGTCTTTCCGTGACTCAGTTAGACATAACGAAAGCTTTCCTCCATCACTCCCGTGTACTTATTCCACCCACGCTGCTTCCAGAATATCGACTCTGGAGCTCCAAAGTAAACGTGGCTGATACTTTGTGGTAATCTCCCTTTGCCTTAAAATTAGGTTGCCATAGTTACCAATCATCTTCACTGGCACAGAGCACAATGTTATTTTAAAAATTAGTTTTGTTTTTTTAGAATTTGTGGGTTTTATTACCATAAGGGTACAGCATGACTATTACTACCTTAAAAGTCCATACATTGTGTATAAATCTAGACAATGCAGAAGGTACATCCTCTCAAACCTGTTATTCAGAGACCTTCAACTGCAGTTTGATGTTAGTTAAAACTTTAAAGTAGGTTAAAACTTACAAATAATTAATAATTCTAACAATAAAACTTTAACATGCATACTGTTTGGAAATGTGCTGTTCTCACCTAATAATGTATCTTGGACATCTTTCTGTGTGTTCATATGCCCTCTCTCATTCTTTTCAATGTAAATCGATTTTTCTAACCAAACCAATAAAGATCATGGTTGGGGAGGGTGAAAAACCACCATTATGGACTGAGAACCTACTTTTCTCATCACTTTTTAATCTTACTTTAAAACTTACTTTTTAATCACTAAAACAATAGGAGGCTGCTGAGATATTTTCTGCATGAAACTATTTTCCTAACATCTTGGCAATTTAGAAGTCAATCCTCAGGCCTCTCATATGGTGAAGCACGACTTAGAAATGACTTCTCTAAAATACTAAAAGTGCTATTCTGAAATTGGTTTACATTGCTATGATAGGAAACAAAAGCACTGTCAGCGAAAAAAAAATTTTTTTTTCCAAAACTCGCTTTCTGAATATATGGTTAATAAAACAATTTTCTGGGTCTGTTCCAGATGATACTCCAGTACTAATGTTATTAGTAGCATTTGCCTTCAGTGGAACTCAAAAAAAAAAAAAAAAAAATGCATCCTGCTTGCAAGTGCCATAAACGAGTCAGCTCACGAAGGGGGTGCCTCGGCGGGCTCACTGCTCCGAGAGCACACGGCCACCAGCCCCCATTGGGCCTCTAGTGCTGCATCAGCAGATCAAGAGTCAGCCAAATGAATGTCCCTCTCGCATAGCAGTCCTCCCACTGCCCATAGCAGTCCTCCCACGGCCCTCTCCTCTCCACCACACAAGGTGGTGGGGTGGGGTGGGGTTGGGCAGATCATAGGCAACACGGCCGCACCCTCCCCCTTAGAGAGTTTAAGGCTCTTAACTCGGCCTGGTACCTTCTGGGTCCTCTTCCCCCTGCGCCTCTCCATCCTTTAGGCTGTGCTCACTGAGGTCCGCCACTATACCGCTGCTCTGCTTCTTCCCTTCCTCATCGCCAGACTCTTCAGATTCGACTCGCCTGTCAACTGAGCCCACACACATCAATAAGAATTCACAGCCACTTTATGTGACTCCCTGAAGAGCATTTAACAGACGGACATCCAGCTGTAAGTCAAAAAGACTTCATCGAGAAACATTTATTGAAGTCAGCTCAACAAACACGAGTGTCTTTCCTGTCTTGGGCACCACATGAGGTGTACAGTGGTGGGGACAACTTGTGTGGGGGAGGGCAGAGCAGGGAGGACACATGGGTACTAAGATGATTAACATACTCTTCCTGCCCTCAAGGAAATTGTGAAGAAATCCCAGGTGTTATAAAAGCCCTGGATCATTTGTGACCAAGCGTACTCATGAGTGACACAGTGAAGCACCTCCTGTGTGGCTCGCTTTTGGCCTGGACGTCCACGTAGAGGGGACCATTGTGACCCTTCCACCACATACCTTCATCCATGCTCCACTATCCATTTGGCCAAGAAAACCAGCCCAGTTCACAGGCCCACGTTCTGAAAGAAATCAAGACTAACTCAAATCAGACTGTGGGCAGAGGGGGGGCTGTAATGAAAAAGGAGGAGACAGCCAATAGTGCCAAATGCCCCAAATAAAGGTCACTGGTGCCACACATCTACACACTGCAATACCAGCTTTGAAAGGCTGGTAAATAAATATTTTTTGAATTAACAAATAAGGCAATGACTAAATATGGCAGACTGGTAAAAATTCTTTGGTAACACTGTCAAATAATTTTCCTTTTTCCAGCTTTTTTCATGATCTACCTCAGAAGGCTATCTCGAAGAGCTGAAACAGTAATAAGTTACTGGAAGTTATCAACAATACTGAAAGTATTTTCTTTCCTGACTGCAGTTTGTCCACAAAGGGGTGTGCTCTTTGAAGAAAGGAAGTTTTATTTCTTCTTTGTATCTCCTCCTGGGCTGAGAAAAGTAGCACCCAGGGAAGGAGTGCTGGATAAAACCAAGTCCTTATGAAATCCACCTCCCAAACCTCCAAATCCGTTCCTTCTTCCCCACCCTGGCAACTGCCTGGGCTCCTGTCTGGCCTCCTAACTGGTCTCTCTGTGGTTTTTCTGGTTCTGTCTAATCTGTTCTGCATTGCTAGAGAATCTGATGTGATTCTAAAATCCAAATCTGATCTTTGACTCCCAAAGTTCTTACTTTTATTTTTTTAAAGATTTTATTTATTTATTTGACAGAGAGAGAGAGAGAGAGAGGGAGAGACAGAGAGAGCACAAGCAGGGGGAGTGGCAGCAGGCAGAGTGAAAGGGAGAGGCAGACTCCTTGCTGAGCAAGAAGCCCAAAAGATGTGGGACTTGATCCCAGAACTCTGGAATCATGACCTGAGCCGAAGGCAGACGCTTAACTGACTGAGCCACCGAGGCGCCCCAACTCCAAAAGTTTTTGGAATGCCAGTCACTCCTGCTGAGATTTCGCCTTGCCCATAGAGACACAGGCTATTTGCTTTTCCAAGCCTCACTCTCCTCATATGTACAAGGGGGCTAGGATAGGACCCACAGCCCAGAGGTGCTATCAGAACTAAAGTAGAAAAGGCACAGAAGCAGTCAGCATGTGCATGATATGGAGTAAACACTTGGTAGTTAGTTATTACCAGGCACAGGGCACTCTGTGGTCAAGGCTAAGAGAGAGCAAATTCTACTGGGTGTGGTGTGGCTGTGACCAGGGTGGCAGGGACTGAGCTAACGAAGGGCAGTCAAAGTGAAATGTGGGACTCTATCCTGAAGGCAGCAGAGGGTCTGGAGCATGAGATAGTAGATCCAAATACAAGGCAACTTTGGGATACTGGGAACAATGGGCTGGTTCAAAGTATTGGCAGTGGGAATGGAAGAGGTATTGAAGACCTGTAGATATTAAGGATATAGAGGCATCAGATTAATTGGATGGGTGGGAGTGGGAGAGAGAGAATCACCTACATTTTGTATTTGCCATTTACCAAGACATGCAAACAGGTGAAGTGGAAGGAGTAGTTTGGGAGGAGGGGTGTCGAGGAGGGGGGATAGGAAGAGGTGCTTCCTTGCTTAAAAAAGATCCAAGACGGGCGCCTGGGTGGCTCAGTTGGTTAAGCGACTGCCTTCGGCTCAGGTCATGATCCTGGAGTCCCTGGATCGAGTCCCGCATCGGGCTCCCTGCTCGGCAGGGAGCCTGCTTCTCCCTCTGACCCTCCCCCCTCTCATGTGCTTGCTCTCTCTCATTCTCTCTCTCTCAAATAAATAAATAAAATCTTAAAAAAAAAAAAAAAAGATCCAAGACCCTTCACCAAGGTACTCCACGACCTTCTCTTGCCACCCTCCTCCAACAGGACTGTCACTCTTGGTCAAATGTTCTTCTAAACCACTTTCTTTCAGAGCACTTTGCTTTTGTCTTTCTTAAACTGAAATGATCTTTGATGTTTCTCCAACCTGGTGATTTGTAGTTATCCTTCAAGGTTCAGGTCAGAGCTGGATTTGGTTGGGCAGCCATCACTCCAAACACACCAGCTCTTCCTTCGCACCCCACCGCCCATCCTTCTTCCCTAGCACTTTACACATAAGACAGAGGCTTTCTTCTGGGGCTCTGTACCTACCCCCACCCACCCCCAACCAGCGGAGACCAAAAGCATGTAAGCACTCGAAGACATGACTGACTCTCCAGTTGGCGTGTGTGTGTAATTACAACCACATATGATATGCAAATGACTTTTTTCAACAAAACTAAAGAGTTGAATTTAGTCTTTTCGGAACTATGATAGCTTTGAAAGCAGGCTTCCGCTGTTTAATAATTCAATCTCTCGGCTCCTTTCCACCCCTTCCCCACAACCCATTCGCTTACGAGAGAACCCTTCTCCACCCCCACCATGTTCACCCATGAGCCGACTCGGGCAGGCCCCACGGCGCCCTGCGCCTCAGTTTCCCCGATAGCTGCCCGGGGGACAGACCCGGCGGGCCAGGCTCAGAGGTTCGGTGCGAGGCTCCCACCAGCCGGTGGACACCCGGGCAGCGGACCAGCGTCGTCAGTACCCACCCACACGCCCGCGCCGCTGCTGCCCCCCCGGCCTTGGGTTTGGCGCCTCCCGGCCGCCCGCGCTTTCCTGGCCACCGCAGCCTCCGCCCGGGGTCCCCGGGTCCCGGGCCGCCCCTGCCCCGCCGAGCCGGCTGGCAGCTCTCAGGGCGCGGCGGGGCCCAGGTCACGGCCAGAGGCGGGACAGCCCGTTTCTCTCAGGCAAGGCCGGTGCGGGCCGCCGCCCCCCAGCCCGCTGGGCCCTTGGGCCGCCGCCCCACGGAGCCGCTCACCCTCCATCATCTCCTGCGACTGTTGCTGGCCCGCGCCGCGTTCCGCCGCCATGTTGGCTGCTCTTCCCCTTTCCGGAATCTGTCGCCTCAGGCCCCTCAGCCAATCAGGGCTCCCGACTCAGTGCTGGCTCAGCCAATGGAATCCCACCCCAGGTTTGAACCCCGACGCGCCTGCGCAGCCTCAGCGCCTCATGGGAATTGTAGTTCACCCGAGAGGCCATGCGCTCCTCAGCCGCAGGAGTAGCCAGCCTCACCTCCTCGGGACAGGTAATCTGAGAGCACACCGGAGGCTTCTGGAGGCGAGGTGCGGGGAAGAAGACAGGGGCAGTCGGGGCCGCACGCACGGAACCGTGGCTGCAGGGGAGCGGAGAGAAGAATCTGGGAGATGCTGGGGGCACGTGGGCTCGTGGAGGGTCTCTGCGTAGGGCTGCAAAGAGGGGCCAGTCGAGTGCGTGCCGGCCCCTCCGGGCCTCAGCGGCTGCGTCTGTACACTGGCCGACTTGGTCCCGACGTCGCCGCGCGGACTTAGCCCGTGAGAAGGGACCGCCTCCAGTTAACGCTCAGCGCTGGGCGTCCGCGCTCATGCCGGGGTCGGAGCCGAGGCCAGGGGCCGGGGCACCGGGGCGCCAACTCCGTCCGCAGGTGCGGGGACAGCCTGTCGGGGTCCAGGACGTCGACCCGGTCCACTGCGGGCCGCAGCCTCCGTCGGCCCCTCGACCCCACGGGCGTGCCTGGCCGTGAGGGAGCCTCCTTGCGCCCTCCGCCTTCGAGGCCTCAGAGAGGGTAGTTGCGCGCTGCTCACCCTTCGGGATTCGGAGACCGGAGGAAACGGAGTCGGTCAGACCTGGCGGGCGGAGGCGCCGTCTCTTTTGGTTCCTCGGAGGCGCCGTAAAGGGAGTCCGGTGCGTCCCTAGCAACCGTTTGCGCGGGCTTCTCCGCTAGGGCTCGCTGAGTCCCGCCCACGGGCGCTAGTGGTTGGCTCGGAGGGCCTGTCAATCGACACGAGTTGTTCTACGATTGGCCGGTGGGCCAGAGGTGAGGATCAGCTCCCTCCCGGCGCGGTGAAGCGAATTTGGCTGGGTGACCCTGGCAGGCCCCCGATGAGATAACTGCGCTCGGGAGAGCGGGCCCAGGCTCCGGGGGCTCCTGGCGTGGCCGGTGGATGAGCCCCAGCCGAGCCCTGCGCCCCCGCGCTTCCTCCGTGCCGCTCCGGCCGGTGGTGGCCCGCTGCCGCCTTGCGACCGTTTGCGGCGCCCTGGCCCGGGGACCCGAGGGGGACCGGGCCGCCCCTCCCCTCCGGGGCCGCGCCGGGGCCTAACCCCGCCGGCGCACCGTCCATCCCGGAGCTGGCCGCGTGCGTTTTGTTGGCGTCCCGTTGCCCGCCGTCCTGCGGGAAGGCGCGTGCGGGAGCCGCGGGAGCGCTGCCGGTTCTCTGCGGTTCCCAGCGGCCCTCCCGCGCGGGCAGATCTGTGTGCACGCACTGCTGCCGGACGTCTCCACCGGGCTTTCCCATACATACCTGGCCTTATCCTCAGTCCCCTCTTCACTGGTTCTTTTCCCAGACAACGGCGGCGGCCTGAGCGCGGAACTCGGGATGCGGTCTTGACACCTTTCAGTGCCTTCCTTTCGGCGCCTCATCACCCAGTAAATCTAGGTCAGTCCTGTGCCAAATGGTCTTAATGTGTTCCCCACTCCATCTTTCTGCCATTGCTATAATTTAAGACCTCATATTTCTTGCCTGTATTGCTGTAGCCTCCCTCCTCCCTCCCCAGACCCGTGCCCCTGCCCCTGGAGTGATCTTTGTAGACTGCGTTTCTGGTCATGTTACTCCAAGCATAGGCCCCTTTAAAGTCCATCTTTGGGAAAAAGTCCAGACTGCCTGGGCAGGCATCGGAGGCCCTAGGAGTTAGGCCTGACTTCTTCAGGCCCATGCCCACTTACTCCTCCCCCAGGGTGCTGTGGGAATCTTTGTCTTTGGGTGCCTCTGTCTGCCTGCAAGTCTTCTTCACTCCCCTTTCCTGCTCAGCTCCGCTGGTGCCTCCTCCCGGAAGCCCTTGTTGACCTTTCAGGTCTGGGAAATGCCCCTTGCTTACATCCTCCATCACAGCAGCCATCATCCTAGATATTCTTTAGGATGCCCCCAGGCGAGAAACAGAAACACAGTCCCAGAAGGGCTCTGGGGGTGAGTAGTTATTGGCCCCTAAACCTGAAGTCCAGAGCAAGACAGGTTTTAGGGTAGGTTTATCCTCAAAATGACATCCTTGCCCTCTTATGCTCTGCTGTCCACCGTGTTGGCTTCGTCCTGAGGCTGGTTCTGTTACTGGTGGTACAGCAGCGGTGGGAGCAACTGGAGCTCTTTGCTTTCTAGCTTGTGGGAGAAAGATGGTTGCTTCCAGAAGTTCACCCATAAGGGCGCCTGGGTGGCTCAGTTGGTTGGGCGACTGCCTTCGGCTCAGGTCATGATCCTGGAGTCCCGGGATCGAGTCCCACATCGGGCTCCCTGCTTGGCGGGGGGTCTGCTTCGCCCTCTGACCCTCCCCCTTCTCATGCTCTCTCTCTCTTAAATAAATAAAATCATGGGGCACCTGGGTGGCTCAG